CCAAATTTTAAACTTTCAAAAGTGTCTGGACATGTTTTAAGATATTCAATAAAACCTAAACTATTTGGAATTTTAGGACCTGCAAGGTGGAGGCTTTTAACATTTTCCGAGCTCATTTTTCTAAGGCTGTTTAATACCAGAAGATGCCATAAGTTTATAAAGATTATGTTTGGTCGAATTATATATCACACGATGTTTTAAAGATTCTGATAAATATTAAAAATGTAATTATTTAAATTATTATGTTTGGTTTTATTGTTGGCGTGCATAACTTTTTTTATCTGAACTTACTCATAATTGTATGTAGTATACCTGGGTTATCAAATGGGGTTTTAAACTCAATCAACTCATTGGATTGATGCGTTGTTATTGATTAGGCTTGCTGCAAACAATTTAAGTATTGTTATATTTAATGAACGAATGTTTTGTGTGTGTTGGATTTGTTTTTTTTGAATAGATTAATTTAATTACTAAAATACAATTGATAGTTTTTTTTAAAAAACTATTTACATTCTATTAATAAATAATAATCATTATGATATTTTTTAGTAAATATAGTTTTATATTTATTGTTCTTTGGTTATATCGTTTCGTTACTTTAATTAAAGAATCTATAAAACATAAAACGCATGTTTTGATTTGGATCGATATAAATGAAAACCACAACACAATCCATTTAACTGTCAAGTAGATAAGAGTATACAACCAAATTGGTTCTTCGATAAATCGAATTTATTAACAACTATAATTGAATAATTGTTAATATTCGTAATTGTGTTGTATGTTCACTATTGGGGCAGTAATGAAGTTCAGAAACTATTTTTTACTTTTCTCTTCCTATCTTTAATTTCATCTTTTTGTGAATTAATTTAATAATATTTTAATTTAATTAACTATAAAAAATCATTTTTTATCCTATAATAAACACCAAATTAACACTATGAATGCTTGATGAAACACTGTGTAAATAATTAATAAAAACTATTTTTGTCTTTCGGGCAACATTTAACTGTGTCATTGTATCATTATTCATTTAAAAACTATCATCTTTTGGTTACATGTTAAAAGAATACAACCTCTTTCTTCAACAATTTTTATACCCAAATTGATAAATACATTTTTGGGCAACACAATTGAATGGACAATAAAACCGATACCTTCACCATCTTGGCTTTATATAACTTAAAAATATAACCAATTATTGTACAATGCCATATTATTTTTTTGTGATTTTGCTTGAGGTTTTAAAACCGCTTCCCTTCTTTTTAGTGTAAACTTGCCAATAGATTACATGTATTTTGGTATTTAAAAGTAAATTATGCCACGTTTTTGAAACTTTTATTCGAGTTAATTTTATCAGCAAAATATTGTTTTTTGTTGCCAATTTGTTAAAAATTGTAATATGAAACACGGATTTTTTTTGATTTTTTTACCAATAAGAAATGTTGCCGACTTTGGAGATACCATGCACTATCTTTTTCGTCTTATTGTTATCCTCTCTTCTCGGCGTATAAAACCGATACATTACCAAATTAAAAATGAACAACACTAAAATAATACCAAAAAGACTGGTTTTGTAAAATAATTGAAAAGTTTTTAAATTTTATCAAAAAACACAGAAAAAATATATCGGCATCCAAGCGTCTTAAAAACCGCTTCCATCATTTTGTCCTTTAAATTTTATTGAAAATTACCATATTTATTGTTTTGCTTCGTTTTTGGTCATAATTTATTAAAAAATTGTTCACACACTTGAAGATGCATCGTACATACAATACTCAACATGAACTTGAAAAAGAGTTGGGAATGGGTAATTCAAACGTCCTCACTTGGAACTTGCCAATATAAAATATTTAAATTTGGCCATAAAACGCACTTTTGATTAATTGAGGAATAAATTTGTTGGGGTGATGGAAAAAAGGTGCATTTATCTTCTGATACAAAAATGTAGGTATATCATAATAAAATATGATCAAACTCTGTTAGAACATTAAATTTTATTCTTGAGTATGTTTATAACCACCACGAGTATCATCGATTCTACTCTTAAAAAACAATGAAAAAAATTAGAGGAAAATAAAGGGGGTGTGAAAAAAGGTGCACTCATAGGTTCAAGATTTATTAGTTTTTGTATTCCAACAAAAAATTGAAAAAGAGTTTGAAAAACAATTCAAAATAATTTTTGGTGTGTAACATTTTATTTTCGTTTTTATGTAATTAATTGTCTTCAAAATAAACTTTTGCTTGCTACTTTTAATAGTCTCGGTTTATGGCTTCGGCAAACTTTGCTTTTTTTCTGTAATAAAAAATTTTCACAAAAAAATAAAAAGGCTACTTTCATTTTGTAAAATATTGTTTGAATAAAAACCCTGAATTTTTTCTTTTTATTGTTGAAACAGGAAAAAAATAAACTTTAAATTTAATTATAATTAAATTAACAAAAAACTATTTTTTTGAAAGAATCGGTTTTTAAGCTGAAGCGGTTTTTTATCCCCCCTTTATGGTAAAAACCTATCAATTTGTCTTAAACCCCTCAAGTTTCAAAGTAAATTAATTACGATGTTATCCCGAACAAGTACGATAAAAAATTGGACAATAATAAGTGTATTATAACAAAAACAAAATATTAAAATAAAAATTATAAAAAAAATTCATTTGTTTATAATTGTTCAAGACATGATCATAACGAGTTGCGTCTCGTTCAAAACCGTAAGAAGTGACATCGGAGAATAAGTTTTAAGAACGCGTTTGTGGAGTTGGCTTACAATCGTTATTTGAAAATGTTGTTTCTAAATATAAAATATTTTTTTCTGGTTTTGACCAATCAATTGACGACTTGAGGGGTTTTAGAAAACTATAGGGGTTTCGTACCGACTTGTAGTAAATTTCCTTTTTTAGGAATATCGTTCATTGTAAATCAGACTTTAAAAATATTTAATAATTAAATTTATTGTTTCTGTTTAATAGGTCAATTATTTAAGAATCTTACGAATTATAAAAACTATCATTGATTATTTAGTTGCTTAAATTGAACTTTGCAATTATATTGTATAATAAAATAAACTATATAATACAGTCCAAATCTTATTTTTACAAATCTGTCGTTAAATTATTTCAATTACAAACAAAATCATGTTTTTCTTGTTTTATAAAACAAGAAGAACTTTTGAATATTATTAATGAATAAAAGTTATTTGTGTTTACTTTGTTTCTTCAATATTATACCCACTTTGTCATTTATTCGTGTTCAGAATGGTAAATACTTTGACACACAAACAAAACAGGAATTTTATATGAAAGGGATTGCGTTAAGTAACCGCATTGAAATATATCCAAATAAAACTGCTGAAATCAAGCCGGAACACACACCAGAAGCATACAAAGATATTTCCTCAATGGGGTTCAATACTGTCCGGATGTATTTGCATTATTTAATGTTTGAGAGTGACCTTTCTCCATATCAATACAAAGAGAGTGGGTTTGCTTGGCTCGACACTGAAATAGCTGAAGCAAAGAAGAATAATATTCGACTTCTTCTTAACTTCCATATTCCACAAGGAGGGTATCTCTCTAAATGTGCGGGCACTCTCTTTGACAACAAAAACGATGAACAGAATCGCCTGATAGCCCTTTGGCGATATATAGCGAAGAGGTATTGTAATGAAGAAGGTATAGCCGGGTATGATCCTGTTAATGAACCTTGTTTAAGGTTTAATCAGACAGAAGAGAATACATATGAGCAGTTGAATACCTTTTACTCCAAGTTAATAAAGACCATTCGAGAAGTCGATAACCACCACATGTTGTCTTTGGAACCAGCCAAAAGATATACAAAAGACGGTGCGATGTACACAATAGTAAATTGGAATATCTTATTTAAAGTAGAAGACAATAACTGGAACATCCAATATCACGATTACACCCCAGGGTGGTACACCTTTCAAGGAATGCCAGGTAATCCAATGAATGACGAGTATTATTGGCCAAACACTCACAATATAAACTATGGAGGGAAGGACGTCTATGCATACACAATAAGTAAAGAAGTTGCTGATATTACTAAAAGTATTTGGGTACAGAAGAAGCTCAATTGGAATGCCAAAGACACTGAATTTGTCAGGAACACATATTGGGTCGCTTTGAAATTTGTGAATGGAATTAACACATGCGTGACTGTTGATAACATCAAAGTCAATGATTACTTTAGTAATAATACAATAGATTATACCTGGCAATTCAATTTCGAGAAGGTAAGTACAAATGCAACATTTAAAGTCTTTTCGAGTACTGGTAATAACAATAACTTATTATATGGTAATTATGGTGTAGATAACACTTTCGGATGGAAAATGACAATCAATGGAAATGCTACGATTGTTCTTGATCATCCATTCTTACCTATTGAAGGACACATTTATGTCATAACTATGGACTTAAAAGTAGTGAGCGCGACAAACGAAGTTGCTTTCATTGTTGATGTCCATAACAACAGTTGGGCTTATGGCGGTGGGTATGAATCGCTTGATATATCTACAAGGTCTATACAAACATATGAAGCTTTTTTTGGCGTTCCAGTCTTCATTGGGGAGTTCGGAGCCAATTTCAGAATGTTTGAAAACAACAAAGGAGGTGAAAATTGGGTCACAGATATTATTGACACTTTCGTGAAGTACAAATTAAGTTACAATTATCACATCTATCACGAACAATGCTTTGGACTGTATAACACTTCAGACACATTGGCACCTGGTGAGGGAAGAATGGAATTGCTATATAATGCATTTATGGAGTCTGTTAAGAAAACACCTGTACTAGATGGGGTATATAATGACTCTGATTGGTATGACAACGAATCTGGGTGTTCTGCGATTGTTGTCATCACATTTGGTATCCTTTTCTTTTTCTATTGATTAATTTGTTCAAATGTGTTATGGTTATCTGTTCAAAAAATCAAACTGGAGTTGGTAGAAAATATCAGGTTTGATAATCTTAACTATATTTTATTATAAACAACTATTTTTTATTAGTTATTAAATTAAGACTGAATTACCTAAGAGTTGGATAAAATTTTGTTGAATACCAACACGCAGAACAATTTCATTTTGAACCCTAAAAATTTTAGAAACAAAAGAACTTGTTCATGTCATTGTGTTTTTATTGTTAGTCTTTCATTTATTCATACATTGGTTCTTTGCAAACACTTCATAGTGTATTGCTTGTAACTATTATTCATTTTTAGTCTTTTGTTAAAATAAACAACAAAATAAATAAATTTAACCTACAAATTTAAAACAAAACCATAATTTAATAACAGTTTTATTAAAAGTTTTAATTTATCAATTCTATTTGGTCAATCGATTAATACCACCACTTCGTTATTCAAACGTTTTATTGATAAAAAGTCCACACTAATCATCTATTGGTGTTTCCCGTGTCATCAATTTTTATTTTATATACTGGGTGGACGCATTTTGGTTTTCTTTTTGCAAATTGAGAATAATGAATAATCGCACCAAATGAGTACGCGTAAAGTGGGTGGATTAATTCACAAATGTGTTGTTCAAAATTTGTTTTGTGAGTCTCTTTAATGTTTCTAATAATTGTCTACAAAGGAACTTATCGAGGGAATGTCGTTGCAATCAAGAAGATGAAACTGAATGGAAATGATCAAACAAAAGTAGAAGAGTTTGAGAATGAAGTCCTAATGTTGGATAAATTTAGGAGTGAATATATCTCCACTTCTTTGGTGCTGTTTTATACCAAATAAGATATGTATGGTCACTGAATTTGCACAATATGGGTCACTACAAGACTCAATGAAACACAAAACTACAGAAGAAGTAAACAATCCAATGCGTATTAAGTTAATGTATGACGCAGCAAAAAAATTGGAATATTTGCATAATAATGGCATTTTACACAGAGATATCAAACCAGACAATTTCTTAGTGTTTTCATTAGAAAGTGAAATTGATGTGAACGCCAAATTGACTGATTTTGGGTCATCAAGAAATGTGAATATGATGATGACTAACATGACGTTCACTAAGGGTATTGGAACACCTACATATATGGTGCCTGAAGTATTAAAACAAGAAAAGTACAAGAAAAGTGCAGACATCTATTCGTTTGCTATTACTATGTACGAGTGTTTCATATGGTAAAAAGCTTATTCAAAAGAAGACTTCAAATTTTCATGGAAAATAGCAGAGTTTGTTACCTCTGGTAAACAATTTGATAATCCTCAAAACATTTCAAATAATCTGTTTAAACTCATTACAAAGTGTTGGTGTCAAAATCAAATTGAAAGACTCAAAATTGAAGATATCACAAAGAAGCTTCAAACATATTTAATTTAATTCAATAACTAATTCAGAAATACACTTTTAATTTCAGTAAAATTTCCCAAGAGCGGTACCTCTAAAGAGCGGGCATTTTTTAGAAGGAAACTATAAATAGAGTTCTCTATCGAGCTGTAATTAAGGTTTGATTGATTACTAAATAAATAACGAACCTGGAGAATCGGGAAAGATTTACCCAATATTTGAGTGATTTTAGATTTTTTGTTCAATAATTGAAACTGTATTGATTTTTGAGGGTTTTAAATTGTGTACAGTTGTTGTTTCAACAAAAAGGAATAAATAAATAAAACAGATAAAAAATAGTAAATAATGGGAAACTAGGACAAAGGGTTTATATAAATTTTGGAAACGGTACAGAGTTTTGGAAAACAGTTTATAATGATTAAAATCAAAATCAAAAATAACAAAGAAAGTCTATTGAATTATCAGAATATAATTTTTGTTTCTTCAAAGTGAATAAAGTAGTTTTAGAATACTTTTGTAAATTTCTAACAATTATGTTTTTATTGCCATAAAATGTTTTTTTGAGACTTATGCCTACTGGGCATCAAAATATCGAGACATAACTGTACCAGATTTAGTATTGCTGTAATAATGTCGTAAAATGGAAAACTGAAACCATTCAACAAAATATTTTGTGGTAAAACTACATTTTTTAAACTATTACACTTTTCAAAACATTTATCACCAATAAATGTCACACTTGAAGGTATTATAACACTCTTCAGACTTATACATTCACTGAAACAACAATAACCAAGCGATTTCACACTTAATAGTATAGTTATACTTTCCAAACTGCTTAGACTGCTGCATTCATAAAAACAACAAATACCTATTGATACAACGCTTGGTGGTATTGTAACACTCTCCAAATTATAACATTCATAAAAATATTTTTTTTATTTTTTTAATATTAATAATAAAATAAATAATATATTTATTATTTTAAACCATAAAAAATAATAGATTTAATAATTATAATATTAAAATAATTCTTTAATATAAAGTTGAAAGAAAAAAGTCCAGCATTTTTTTGGAAAAATAGTAAATGAAATCAATTTAAACTAAACAATGAAAAAACATTTATTTTTTACAAAAAAACAAATTTTTTTACATACAAAAAATTTGTAAAAAAAAACTTTACATATAAAAAATTTGTATGTAAAATACTCTAAAACTAAAATAAAATAGTTTTTTATTATAATTATTTTCTTTCCTTATCGAGCCAGACTTTTTCCCTTTATCTCTAAAAGCAAAATATCCATTTTAAATTATTTAATAATCAGAAAAATGTTTTGCAAAAAAAACATAAAGAAATGCCAATAGAATCAGAAAACGAAACAAGAAAGAACACAATAATTGCAATTACAGTAAAAAGCATCTATTTTCAAACCGAAAAAAACGTATATTTGTGGGTTTATCATGAAATTGTGTTGTAAATTCTTTTCACCATTTTTCATAAAAAAACAGTGTTATAGAAAATATAGTAGAATATTTCAATTTTAAAAATACTATAATTTTATTTAAGTGTATAAAAATTCAAAGTTCTAGAGCAAAATAATTATTTGTGGGTTTTGCATTTGATTGGTCTATTGACCCACAAATAGATGCTTTTTACTGTACTTTATTGTCTTCTAATGGTACTTGTTGAATACTTTCAAATTTGTGGTCGACAAGTACATTATTTGTTTTTTATTAAGTTTATCCAGTTTGTTCTTTTTTTGGATGACAACTATTAATGTACAGCTTTTCATGTTATTTAATGTAACATCTTCAATCACAGTTCTTAAATTTTTGCTTGACACATTTATGTTATTCAACATGTGAATAAACATAACGGCTTTTGATTCCAATACTTAAATATATACAAATGCAGTGAAGTCGTAATACACTTGAATGTCAATATAGACAAAAATGTTTTTACTACCATAAAACAAAAAATAACATTGTAAGTTATTATTCCAAATAACAACTATTCACTATATATAATACATATCATCAATCAGTGTTTACTTTATTTTTCTATTTATTATACAAGTAGTTCTCTTGTTAGCAAATAAAATCGACTATATTGGTAGTTAGCATATAAAACCATATGTTTTATATGAAGCAGATGGCATGTGTTACATTATTTTTCAATACAAAAATCCAAAGTGATTTGTAAAAATGTTGACCATTTCAAGTAAATGAGACAATAAACCAAAATATCGTAAATTTTATTCTCCATTACAAAATGTCTTTTTACATAATAACAAAAATCTCCAGCTAAATTAAAAATGCCAACCGTAAGACTAAAGACACAGTTGTTTTGTTTGACTATATAACAACTCATTTTACAGACTCACCAATGTAAGTCTTAAACAAATCTGGTGAATTGGAGGACATTTACAATATCAGATACTTTGAGGTTGAAGTGACATGCCTTATTCAATTATGGTTTATATAGTAAACGGTGAATATTGTCTGTTGTGCATACAAACAAGACGTATGGTAATGTCATTGATGCGATCACTGTAGTTGGTTGTGGTGTTCTTGTTGACAGCAAAAACATGTTTTTCACGTTGAATGGTCGTATTGTATATCAAGTGAAGAAAGAGTGGAATGTGTTTTGTGCGGCTATCACAATGGGAGAGTACAAACACATTCGCATTAACCGTGGCGAAAGGGAGTTTGTAGCTGATGTGAAAAAGATAGCAAAAGGTAAAGGAAAGAAAGTTGGGAAATATGAAATTGAGAGACTTGAAGATGATATAACAAACAGTCGCAAAGAGTGTGTTGTTATGTAAATTGGATTTGTTTAACTTATTAACAAGTAAATAGTTGTTTTTATTAATTAATTACTATTACAATTAAATCTATAGTTATTAATTAAAATACCAAACAATTAATGATATAATAGTATAATTATTTAATAATATGTTTACTATAAACAATAGTAAAATAGAACATATTAAACCTAGTTGTATCAATTCTTTATATGAATTCTTTATAAAAAAATAAGACGCAAAAAGCACTTAAAACCACTTCAATTCATTCACTCCTTTGTGTTTTGGTTTTGTCGTCTCCATTCATTTTTGAAAAAATTCCTTCTATTTTCCCTTTCAACACGTTTTTCTTGTTTTTTCTGAAATATTTTTTCAGCTTTTTTCATGTTGTGAGTTTTTATGACTGGAATTTGTTTACCCTTTTCAGGGCAATCATTTTTCTCGTGTCCATATTTTCCACATATGAAACATTGCTTCAGATGTTCGCCTGTTTTTGTAATAAACTTGAAATTGTATTTCTTTGTTTTTTCATTGTTTTTGAAGTTTTCTTTCATTTTTATTGCCGAATCCAAGTCTTTTAAAACGACGCTTAAATAGCCATGCATCAATGTTCCCTCTTTTGTAATTAATCTCTCGACACTCTTCACTTCATACTTTTCCAAATACTTTTTGACGTCGTCCTCACTCTTGTCCAGTGTTTTATATAAGAAGTTTGCTGTGGATCTTGATGGGTCTGTTTTATCGAAATATATGATGACCTTGACTCCGTCCCACTCAGTCTCGTTCTTCTCTTTAATAAGGGTGTTAACTGCTTCCTCATTTTCCATTGTGATTTTACAGAAATTCAATGGAGTGTCTTTTTCATATCGTGGATTATCACATGAAATAGGAGAGTATTTTTTAAAAAGAGCGTGGATGGCATTATCTGTCATTGTAGAGTCGATGGGTTGGATTTGTACTGTGATTGGGTTTGTTTTTGTCATTCAAAATTATTAGTGTCTTTTTAGGTTATTTTATTTAATTTTTGAATATTTTTAAAAACTATTTTTTATTATTTATTAAAGCTAGTTCGAAAATTTTTTATTCCAGAAACCTTATTTATTTATTTTCTTTTGAAATAAAGCAAAGTTAAGTTGTTTAATAAATATTACTATTATTTTAACTATTATCTTATAACACAACCAAAAACATAACGTTAAAGTTATTTAGCTAATCATTTCATTTATTCTGTTTAGTAATAAATGGTATTATTATTGTTGTTATTTACCAAAAAACAAGAATATACAGTAAACAAACGAAGTTTTTTTTGATCATTTTCTCCAAAAATTTTTAAGAATTTTGCTTTTAATCGTGAGTACTTTTTCAACTATTTTGAATGTACTCTTTCATAGTGCAAACTGAAGTCCACACAAACATGACAATTATTTCTTTTTAGACATATTTTTACTCAACAGTAGAACAAC